TAAGCCTATTTGCTGCAGAATTTTAAGAGTTCCAATCCACTCCGGAATCACACCTGTAAAGTGATTCTCCCCCAATGATACAATAATCAGGTTGCGGAGGTTTTCAATGCCGGAAGGAAAATCTCCTGATAGTTGATTCTTCCCCAAGTATAGACGCTCGAGTTGGTTGGAAAGGTTACCTACCGAACTTGGTACATGCCCCGATAGACGATTGGAACCAATGGATAATACCAGAAGCTCACTACAGTTGCCTAAGCTGTCCAAAAACACCCAATCTTGCTTGCTATGTGCTTGGAGTTGATTATCTTCGAGATTCAACGCTGAGAGTTTTGTAAGTTTGCCAATCATGGTGGGCACCAATCCAGTGAAGTTGTTTCTTGACAAATCGATAATTTGAAGATTAGAAGCATTAGTGAATGAACTAGGAATGTGCCCTATAAAGAAGTTTCCACCTAATTCAAGTTTCTGAGAGTTTTGTAAGTTTGCCAATCATGGTGGGCACCTAATGGAAATCGTAGTTTTAGATGCATTAGTCTTTCTTTCTTTAGAATAAGGTGCTCTATCTTTTGATTTACGGGCCTAAGAGGCTAGCTAGGTTTAACATATATCTTAGGTTAGGCCGGAACGCACCCAGACCAGTGTGAGAGAGCCAAGTGAAGAGACTAAAAATGCGGGAAAAGGTCCCACCAGTCAGCGTGAGGAAGGCCGCGGCCGGTCAGGTGGGAGTCAATGGCGTCGCGTGAGTATGTGGGTGGGAGGAAAACGCGGGCGCAGGACCTCGCCGGCAGAGACTTCAGTGGCCGCCTCACCCACTTAATCTCATCATAATTAGTTAATTAATTAACCTCTTCAACTGATACGAGGGACCAAGTCTAATCCCTTCAGCAACACACATTTAGGATTGGAAAGATGAAGGCCCAAGTTCCTTTGCATTTCAGTGATCAAGTTTTTGTTTGGAAAGTTCTTAAAGTCATTAAGCAGCAGGTCGAGTGAACTTTCAGGCATGTAGAAACAGAACAGAACCTCTGAAAATGTTCAGAGTTTTTTGTTTTTCTCAGATCCTGTGTTCTTGATGCAGTCCACCTTTAAAGGCGCAAAGCTGCTCGGCTCAAGCTTCTTCGATGCAGACTTCACAGGTAGCCTACTGTATTTGTTATTTATCTCCCCGGCGATCTTCCAACCAGTAGACACTAGAAAGACACTAGTTGGCGTGATGCTTGCCCAATGTACAAGTGTCGAGTCCGAATCTACGGTGATCAACTGCCTGTCTCTCTGACACTTATCTACTTATAAACGCTGATTTCTGGATGGTAAATGTGATAAAGGTACATAAGTAGCTGCATAGTAGGCAGCAGATCTTTTGGGTTCAGATTGATAAGCAGCCCATGCTTCTGCTGCTCTGAATTTTGCTTCCCCTTGCTACAAACCTGGAAAGTCACCCGTTCGGTTCAGTTACCATGACAAAAAACTTGTTTTTCTGTTTCTTCCTGGTGATCAAACTAGTCACTTCAAAGGGAGCAATTTTGGACTGTCACTAGAACATACTAATATTCCATCATTTTTATGATTGTTAGCACACTGTGTAACTACGGGATATGTTTTTACACTGATCTTGTGATGTGGCTTGCCATTGTTTCGTTGCGTAGGTAAATATAACAAACGCCAGCTTCGAAGGGCCGCTTGTGACAGGGAACACTTCTTTCGGAGGTTCCAACGTATATGGGGCAGGCAAATGCTACTACATGCTTATCTTCAGTTGCCGTCTCAACTCTCGACATATTTGGATGTGATCAATGTCAACGTATTGATGCAACAGAAGTACTGAATGTTCAGAATGTTTTTCTGAATCTGTGTTCCTGCTGCATCCTACTGATTTGCATTTGTTTCTTCATCTCCTCTCCTCAGAGATTCCAGCCAGCAGTAGACAAAAAACCAGACAATTTGTAGTGATGCTTGACCACTGTCAAGTGTCGAGTTCTGAGACAGTAAGTGATTTTATTTTTTTACTGTTTGGTGCTGAATTCAGGTGCAGGCTAATCTATCCGATGCCGACCTTAGAAAATGCAGAGTTCTAACTGGCGAATGTGACAAAGGTACGGTAGTAGGTAAGCATCAAACATGTCATAAGAGTTCAGGTTCAGAATAAGCAGTAACATGCTTGCGCTGATCTGAGTTTCAGTGCAAATCAGTGACCACCACACAATTTTTTTATTTTTTGTTTCTTTCTGGCCTACCATCCAAACTAGTACCTCCAGAGAGACTAAATTGGACTGTCACTGGAGCAGATTTAATAAATCATAACTGATGATTAGCATATACCCCCTGAATAACTGGATATGGTTTTACACCAATGTCCTTTTTTCGTTATGTAGGTAAATTTAACAAATACCAACTTGGAAGGGGAACTTGTTGCGGGCATCAATTTCTTTCAAAGGCTGTAGACAAATGGTCCTCTGTTTCGTTATGTGGGTCAATTTGTTGCCATACTTGGATAGTGTGAGCCTGTCAAGCATACTTGTTGACTACAATGGAAACCAAATAAACTCCGGGTCAAGTCTGATTGATGCCTGGAAATGCTATTCGTTTTCCTTCTTCACTATCAAGGCTGACGCAGTAACACCGACAACGTGTGGATTTATAAATATGGGCCCCTTACATACACGCTATGTGACAAATACCAACTATACAAAAACTACTTGTTCAGGTAGCTAATACTTCTAACATAGACGCTATGTGATAAAAGCCAATTATACAACAACTTGTCTATTCAGTTAGCATTGAGATAAGCATCCTTGATTCTATGTAGCTTGGCAGCCACCTCCTGCATGTTGATACGATCGCCAGGGGATGGCTTGGTGCAAGAAAGGCCAACGTTTAACATAGATAGAAGACATTCTGAACATTTTCCCTTCAAGGCCATTGGAGTTTCCTCCAACTCTTGTAGCAGTTGGGGGTCGACAATCTCCAATACCCTACCGGGGAAGCTGGCCTCTATAAAGTTCACAATGTTGAGGCCATCCTTAAACATGTCATCAGTCGGCCTTGTTCGAATGAATATCTCGAGGAGAACGACACCAAAGCTGTAAACATCCGCGGCAGCTGAAACTTGACCGCCCCCAGCATATTCTAAAGAATGAAAGGAGTGGAGTTATTTCGCATTCGCTGCTTAACATAGATGCGGAAAAAAAATGGTACAAACTTGAGACTAAAAAAAGACCATTACCTGGAGCGGTGTATCCAATTGTCCCCATTACTGCAATAGAAGAAGAGCTGGAGTTACCAAGAGATGAGATTGTGGAACCAACTTTGAATCTTGCCAGCCCAAAGTCTCCAACATGAGCTGTCATATTGTCATCCAAAAGAATGTTGCTAGGCTTCAGATCACAATGAATCATTGTTTCTTGGTTATTATGGTGTAGATACTCCAGTGCATCCGCCACGTCCACCACAATGCTTATCCTTTGAGCCATCATAATGAGGTTCAAATCTGAAGAGCATTCATAGTCTTGAGTTGAGTATAGTAGTTTATGTAAGTCTCCTCGTGGCATGAGCTCATACACCAGGGCCTTGAAATCATTGCCCTTAGAATCAATGCTCGAGCATGCAGTTAGAATAGGGACCAGATTGCGATGTCGCACATTTCTCAATGCATTACATTCTGCAATGAAGCTCTTGTGTGCTCCTCTTATCTCTAGGTTGAAGACTTTTATGGCAACCTCATTTTGGTCTTCAACTAGTTTTCCTTGGTACACAGAACTGTATCTTCCTCTACCAATCAAATTAGATGTCGAGAACCCCTCAGTTGCTCTGGTTAGGTCGTTGAAAGAAACTTTGGGGAATTTTGTAGAAAATGATGGCAGTGATATAGATTTGCTCATGTGTTTTCTTATCCATAGCAAATAGCCATATATGACTATAGAAACTGAAACAACACATGCTATTGGGATGACCACTTTGAGCACTAAAGATTCCTTGTGCCTAGTTGAATTTGAAGGCACAACAGAACAGGCTAGTATGTGTAACTCTTTTACCCCGCCACAAAGCCCTTGATTTCCGTTAATCCTCAAGGCAGTTGCATTCCTGAAGATCCCTTTTGTTGGAACATCTCCATTAAGATGGTTGAATGACAAATCTAGGTCCTCAAGAAGTTCCAGGCTGCCAAGAGATGCTGGTATTGACCCAGTTAAGTTATTTGTAGACAAATTCAAAATTTTGAGGCTGCTTATCTTGTCTAACGATGTGGGAATGCCTCCGCTGAAAATATTCGAATCTAACTCAATGCCTTCTAAGCTTTCACAATCACCCAATGTGTTTGGAATATCTCCGGATAGTTTATTTGATGAAACTCTCAATCTCACGAGTTGTTTGGCATTTCCAATGCCGGTAGGAAGTTGTCCATCGAGGCTATTGAATGACAAATCAATTCCAATTAGTGTTGGGATTCTAAAGATCTCCATTGGAACCTTGCCATGTAGTTCGTTGCGGGAAATGTCCAATATTTGAAGCATTGGAAAGTTTCCAAAGCTTGATGGTATGTGACCAGTGAACTGGTTCAAGCGTAGGTAGAGAGCTCCCAATTGAGTCAAGTTTGACAAGGATGATGGGAGAGCCCCCGCAAAGAAGTTTTTGAATAAGCCTATTACCTGCACAGCTTTGAGAGTTCCAATCCACATAGGAACCACACCTGTAAAGTTATTTCGTCCCAATGCTACAAAAATTAGGTTGCGAAGGTTTGCTATGCCAGATGGTAAATCTCCTGATAGTTGATTGTTTGTCAAGTATAATTCCTGGAGTTGACTTGAAAGGTTACCTAATGAACTCGGTACATGTCCTGATAGATGATTATAACCCATGGACAACATTTGTAGCTCTGTGTAGTTGCCTAAGCTATTCAAAAACTCCCAGTCTTCTATGTTGTGTGCTTGGATTTGATTATATTCAAGATTCAGACTCAAGAGTTTGGTAAGTTTGCCAATCGTGGTGGGCATCAATCCGGTGAAGTTGTTCCTCGACAAATCGAGAGCTTGTAGATTGGAAGCATTCGGGAATGAACTAGGAAGTTGCCCTAAAAATAAGTTGCCACCTAGGAAAAGTGTCTGGAGATTACCGAAAAAGGCTTTCGCCCCGCATTATAGATAAAGCAGACCGCCAAAGGACATACAACCACACCAAGTCCACACACACACACCCAAGTACCACAACAAAGTCATAAGGTTCTGCTGAGGGCACAGCTCAACAAGCCCAAAGAAAGAGAAAAAACAAAGCGAGACCCGCGCCGGGGATTTAGTCAGGCTCCGGCGGCGGCGGCAGCGGCGGTGGCGAAAGGCGGACGGCCATCGAGCGAAGATCGGCGATGAAGGCAGAGATGGCGTCGTGCTCCAGGGGACGGCTAAGCGGCCGCCAAAGCTGCAGGAAACCCGAGAATTTGTAGAGAGCGTCAGTAGCACGACGGAGAGGGGTACGCTCGATCACAAGCTTATTACGAACAGTCCAAAGAGTCCAGGCAAGGACCCCAACCTCCAGCCACCTAATGTGGCGGGAGGACGAGGGGGACGTATGGAGTTCAGCAAATAAGTCAGG